GCCCCTGGCAGTGTCTTTCCCACGGGTGAGGGGCCAGCAACATCTTCTGAATCACTGGAAGACACAACTGCAGCAGCAACAACCGCCAACCTCGCGGCAGCAGCTGGCACCCTGGAGATGGCCAGAGCCAGCAGGGCCTCCACAGTATCACGTGCAGACGTCACACCTCTCATGGATGAAAGTCCCACCAAAGGGCCACCCCTGGGGGTTTCTCCACCCAATGCCACCCCAAGGACAGCAGCAGCCATGGCACGTAGCAGCCCGGCCACCCTGCGACCAGCATTGGGCGATGATGCCCCACATGATGCCTCTGACAGTCCTGCCAGCAGCACAACTGCACTTCCTGTGGTGTCCCCAAACGTGGCCTCAGAAGAGGATTCAAGGAATAGCATGACCCATCTACCACCTGGCAACACCCCAGTGTGGATGACAGACACATCCCTGCCTCCTGGAGCTGGAAACACCACAAGGAAGGCGGCCGTTGGCCCCTCTGCTCAAACAGGCCCAGACATCCCAGACACAGCCCCAACCCCAGCCAAGGGAAGGTCATTTCTTGCCCCCAACAATTACGTCCCCCCCCCAGCCACTGGCAGCGTCGCTCCCACTGGTGAAGGGCCAGCAACAACTTCTGAATCCCTGGAAGACACCACTGCAGCAGCAACAACCACCAACCTTGCGGCAGCAGCTGGCACCCTGGAGATGGCCAGAGCCAGCAGAGCCTCTACAGCATCACGTGCCTACATCGCACCCCTCATGGATGAAAGTCCCACCAAAGGACCACCCTCAGGGGTGTCTCCATCCAGGGCCACCCCAAGGATGGCAGCAGCCATGGCACATAGCAGCCCGGCCACACTGCAACCAGCATTGGGCGATGATGCCCCACATGATGCCTCTGCCAGCCCTGCCAGCACCACCACTGCACTGTCTGCAGCATCCCCTGACGTGGTCTCAGAAGAGGACTCAGGGACCAGCATGACCCACCTACCGCCTCACAACACCCCGATGCAGAAGGCAGCTGGCTCCCTGACTATTTTTTCTGGAAATGTCTCCAGGGAGTTGGCCATGGACCCCTCTGCTCACGTCAGCACAGCCACCCAAGTAACAGCTCCAGCCTCGGCCAAGGGAAGGTTGTTTCTCGTCAATAATGGCCGCGTCACCACCCTGGGTGTGCGTTGGGCAACGTCTCTGCAGGGTCACTCTGGGGCTGAGCCAACACCAGAAGTGCCAGATGGGCTGGCTCTTGCCCATGCTGCAGATGGCACAGGGCCCCCTCCCAGCCAAGCTCTTCCCAGGACTGAGCCAGCACCGGAGCCGTCCACCCTGGGGGATGATGCTCCCCAAACAAGGTCCCCAGCAGATATTCCTCCCCGGGGTGGTCTCTCTGCTCCGCCAGCCTCAGCAGATGCCAGCCCAGTGTCACACACGGCCAGTCCATGCCCTGGCACCGCTATCACCCCAAGAACCCCACCAGCATCACTGCCAGGCACCAGAAACACAGCCACAGAGGGAGTCAGAGGCAGCTCCCAGCCAGCAGGAGACGGCAGCACCGTGGAGGCAATTGAAGACTTCAACTCAATTGAAAATGCAGCAGAAGATGCCTGGGTGAGCAGGACAGACAGCAAAAACACCTCTCCTGGGCCAGCTCGGCGTGCGCCGAACCTCTCTGGAGCCAGCAGCACCACGCAGCCGCACGCCAGCCGGAGCGGTGGCACTGCTGAGCCGACAGCAGAGGCCTCCTACCCAGGTGCTGGGGAAGGGACAGCAGAGCCAGCCCCAGGACTGACCCTGTCTGCGACTGCAGGGACTGAGCCAGACACCAGCTACGTGTCCCCAGCGACGCAGTCCGCCCCAGGCAGCAAGATCACCATGGCAGGGGCTGTGGCGGGTCTGTCCTCACCGGCAAGGCCCAGCCCCACTCTGGAGCTGAACAGAGCACCTTCCCTGGTGCTCGTGCCCAGCACGGCTGAGCCAGGCGACAGCGTGTCCTCTCCCATCTCCAGCAGCACCAGCCTCACGGTGGTGGCATCCTCTGGCAGCCCCAGTGACGGCGTGAGCAGGACGGCAGTGAGGGCAAGCAACAGCAGTCCCAGCGTGGCCGCATCCTCCTCTCCTACCCCAAATGGGGCCATCATGGAGCTTGTCAGAGCAGCCACCTCCTGGCGCAGGCCCCACAGCACCTTTTGGTCACCGACAGAGCCCGTCAACAGCACCAGCGAGACCCCCGCAGCGTCTGCCAGCCCAGACAGCGACAGAGCCCAGGATGAACCCTTGGCTGGGGTGTCCTGGCCAAGCACAGGCAGCTCACAAGCAGGAGTAAGCACAGTCACAGCCTGGGCAGGTACCCACAGTGCCGCCGCCCTGGCAGAGACCACCACACCCTTCCAGGACCCCTCCAAGAGCAGAACTGACAGCGCGGCATCCCCTGCCAGCAATGAGGACACTGCTGTGTCCATCACCACCACCACCGGCAGCGCAGAGATGAGGGCCAGCATGACATCTCCATGGGCTACCAGTGTGTCACCCGTGCCAGCCTCCGGAGTGCCCTCCACAGCCCCCCAGCACACTGCCACGCTCCCGCTCCTCAGCCTGCTGACAAACCCCGGGTACCGTGGCACGGTGTCGACGGAGGGAACGTCCTCCCCACTCATCTTCAGTTCTACTACTCAGATGGCAAGGGGCACAACAGCCCCTCTGGAGCCACCATCACACACGGTGCCACCGAGTGCCGGCTCTACAGCTGCAGACACAGCCATGGTGGCCACCTCTAGCAGCACTGCCCAGCCGGCCCTGGGCACCTCCTCCCTGCTGACAAACAGGTTGATGTCCACAACCAGCACCTCAAGCTCGTTGGGTGGGAGTCCTGCCCCTGCAGGGGCTGCAGTGGGTCTGTCCTCCCTGGGGACAAGCCCTGCAAGCAGCTACTCTGTAGCTGATGGAGAAGGCAGCACCTCACCTGCCCGCCCCACTGCCACCTGGCTGCCACGAGTCACAGTCCCCTCCAGCAACACCGTCATCGCAGATGAGCCGCCCAGCAAGGCAACCACCACAGCCACCACAGTCAGCGGGACAGCCGAGACGTCAACTGCCAGAGCAGGGTTTGCCATCTCCAAGGCCACCGGCACCAGCCATGCCCTGTCCTCCGCCACAGAACAACCCATCACAGAGAGACAGGCAGACAGACGTGGGCTATCCCGCTTTGGTGGTGTTGACTGGGGAGATGAAGGTGCAATCCCAACTGCAACAGCTGTCGACAGACTTGGTGCTTCCGCTGCTGCACATGGTGCTGCTGAGGAGAGCACTCTGACGGTGCCTGACAATACAGCAGCTGGGAAAAGCACTGGCCTGTCACCTGCTCCATTCCTGCAGAGAGCTACAGCTGAGCCCACCGCCACCACACTTACAACAGTCGGCAAAGACTCCACAGGTGTGTCATCAACAGCCCTGGCCTTGCCTGTCTCTACCCCTTCACTGAGGGAAGCAGCAACCAGCAAACCAGAATTAATCACAGACAGTGTCCCAGCTCAAACAGCCCCCAGGATGGTCTCTGGGGGGAACAAGGTGGCAACCAAGCTGCCTTCCTTGGTTTCCACCAGCACCCCAGCTCTGGAGGGGCCAGTCCTGCTCCAGACCACACCTGAGGCAGCAACTGCGGCAGCGGGAGCAAGAGATGTAGGTGCAAGCACCTCCCAAGCCACCAGCACCATGCTGGCAGATGGAGCACCACTGGCTGCTGTCAACAGGACAGCTGTAAGTCCACACCTTGGTCCCAGCACCACTAGCAGTGAATCAGAAACAACTGTCTTATCTCTCACAACGCACACCACCATGACAGAGCCAACTGGTGGGTCCTTGGAGGTGCCTGATCCCAGCCATGCCATCGTGGTGCCAGGTACACATTTCTTCAGCAAGCACAGCACAACAGAGGAGTCGATGACTCAGCCATCATCTGTTCCTAGTGACAGCACAACCACAGAACCAGCAGCATCCCTGACAGTCGGGTACACTGCACCCAAGCCAACAACAGGCTCTTCTTCTTCCATGGCTGTCAACAACCCTGTGCCAGGACAGGCATTGAGCACGCCGCTTTCTGTCACACAGAGGTCCCTAGGACAACCTGTCTCAGGGGAGAGAACAACTGAACCTGCCAGCAGCAGCTTATCCACCATCGTTCCTGACATCGCAGATAGGTCAACAAGCCGTGTTTCTTCTCTTGCCTTTGCCACCATGAGCAGCCCCACTGACACACAGCTGGGAAACAGCACAGCTCTGACTAGCTCTCCTGGAACCCCAAGTAGGCTGATGCTACCAACAGCTTCTCCCAGGCATGGGGCCATGGACAGCACTATGACAAGTCCCTTCCGCATTCCCAGTGATGGCTCAGCCAATGCGACAGCCACCCCTGCAGTCCTGAATAGCAATGCTGCAGGGGCAGCCAGGAACAAACCCCAGTCTGGGGTGCTCCCCACACTTGCCAAGGGCCTCACCACCCCGCAGGAAGGTTTGGGGACTTTGTCTCTCCCTGGCACCCATGCAGCTGTGCCTGTCCCTGGGACGAGCAGCCAGGCTGGATCACAGCCTGCGTTCACCACTGTGTCCATCCTTCCTGCCTCTGCCACCAGCCCAGAGCCAGACACCATGGACAAAACCAGCCCCTCACGGGCTCCGCTTGTGTCAGCAGGAGCTGGAAACGGAGTGGCCAAAGCAGGGCTCGCAGAGACCATCACCCCAGTGGCTGGCAGCATCGTGGCCGTCTCACCACGTGTCCGGCTGCCCCTCACACCCGCGGGCTCAGCGCGTCCGGCCGCGACACAGGGCAGCTCCGAGGAGGAGCGGGGATCCCTCCTGGGAGGCACCGCCACAGCACCGGCCAAGCCACCAGCAGCCCTCAGTCCCACCACGGCTCCTGCCTTTGGGATGCAGAAAGGACCAGCCACAGCACCCAGGGCTTCTGCCCACGCCATCTCTAGCCATGGAAATCCCACGCTTGTGCCTCTGCCTGAGCCCCGGCCCACCCTGGGGCTTAGCAGTAAGTAGATTTTATTCCTTCCTTTTCTTCCTAAAGCAGAGAACATGAGGGAGGGACTGGCCCCACTGAGCTGCTGTGACTGAGCATGACATGGGATGGCTCAGGGGTGGCTCATCTGCGATAGGCGCCAGGCTGGGGGATTAATAGGAAAAGGGGAAATAGGGAATATGAGAGCAGGGCATCTCACTCAACTGATGCCTGCTGCTTCCCCACGCCTGGGAAGCCCAGGTACTCAGTGGTGGAGCCTCTGGTACTTGCACAAAACCTTGCAGGTCCTTGCACCTCCCTGACTGCCTATAAAGGCCATGCGAACCCAAGGCCTCCTCTCCATCCCCACTCAGCACAGTGCAAATATCCACAGCCAGTCAAGTCTAAACCCTACAGATGGTGTCATCCCCTCTCTCCTCTCCTCTGTGTGCATTTTTGTCTGATCTTTCACAACTAACTCGGGTGAGGAAAATCATTTAAGCACCCACTCACAGCTGAAATCCCTGAATTGGGAAGGCAGGTTTCTTTGCAGGACATCATAGAGACAATAGATATGTTGGCCTATGTCAGGACTTGCTAGCCCTGGAGATGTGAAAAGTGGAATGGATTTATTTCTAGTTTTCCATTAATCACCTGCTTGTGTTAGTTCCAGCTGTGTCGCTATACCCATACGGCAGGGAGGGAAACGACAGTCGATACGTTGAAAGGAAAGTGGACTTTAATTCCCCACTGTTCAAACCAGAGATTGGATTCCCGTTGGGGAAAGAGCTGCATGACTGCCTCTACGTGAGTTTCTATGGCTGCAGAGCATGAGTGATATGTAGTTTGTGTGGGAGAAAAAAATCCCAGCAAATTGGAATAGAAGTCTAATTAAATACAATGTTATTTAATGTCACAATTTAAAATGTCCGGTTTCTGCCTATCTTTGGGCAGGGTATAAATAAAAGTCACATTGCTGGGAAGGCACCACATGGGGAAGCTGGTATCAGAAAATCACTAGTTATTTTGGTTAGTTTACAGATGATGGACAAATCATTTTCCCACCTACGGACAACTACGTCCCCTCCAACCCTAATCCACCTCCCCATGGGTTTGGTGTCCAGGAGAGTTTGCCAATGGTGGCTGCATTTTGGGACGATGCGGATTTTTCCCAGGGAGTTGGCACCACGTGGTACCAGGTAGGGGCCATCAGGAAGCTCTCCAGGAGAGCCTGGCTCCAACCTCCAGAGCAATCCCATCCTTTCCAAACTCCCCCTTTGAAATCTCACAGGAATACTCTACCCTTGGATCTACCCAAAATGCCCTTGTCCGTGACGTAGAAGCAAAGATCGAGAGATACATGAAAACCTCATACACAGCCAAATGGACCCTGAAGGTGACATGGGAGGATGCTCCAGCGTACCCATCCCAGAGGAACGACACAAGGGTGAGCAGAGGGAGTCCACGAGGACCCCCCCCACTGGTGATGGGGACCTGGCTGTGGCCAGTCAGGGTGCATTTGTGGCCTCTTGCACCTTCATTCATGGGTTTCGTGTCTTGAGGCAGCTTTCGTTTTTCCAGCTCACAGCAGGACACAAGCACACGTGGTACACCCAGCTGGGTTCCCACAGATAAACACACCCCGTGAAGCCATCTGTGGGTCAGAGATTCCCTGCTTGCTTTGCTCAGGATTTTCCTGGTCTGCTCACAAAGGGCCTTCTCCCACTGCTGTCCCACATAGGAACCCTTGGTGACTTCTCCTTCCCTGTGTCCCCTCGGCGAGGCTGCTGCGATGCTGCTCTGTGCTCGGTGAGAAGCGGGGGGCTCTGCCGTGGGCTGACTGGCTGCTGTGGGTTTCTCTAGACAAACACGTACCAGGCGGTCCTCACCACGGACGGGAACCAGTCCTTCGCCCTGCTCCTCTACCAGGACCAGGGAATGCGGTGGGATTTCACCAAGCTTGCAGCAAGGAACGTGCTCATCGGCTTTTCCAGGTGCCATGTGTGTGTGCGTGTATGTGAACACACGCGTGTGTGCACTGCTGGATGTAAGTGGAGGTGTCTGTCACTCCTCATGCAGGTTAACATGGTCTCTTGACCTCTCCTTTGCTTTCACTCACGGTCTTGTGGTCTGGTGCTCCCCTGTGGATCAGAAGGAAGGACCCGTGTTGGGCCATAGCACCATCAGCTCCTTCCCCCTTCATGCTTGACAGGGAATTGCACTCCCAGGGGTGGAGAAAAGAGGCAAAGAGGTTTAGAGTTGTGTCCAGAGCATGATCCAAGACTTCCTCTCTTCACACAGTGGCGACGGATATGCCGAAAATAACGAGCTGATTCAAAAGCCACCAGCAGTTAAATATCGGCCTGACCAGTACAGAGGTTACAGCACCGGTACGGCGGGAGGGGGAGGTGTCCTTGGTTCAGTGCTGGGGGGCTGGAGAGGAGATGTGTGCCCATGAGCATATCCCTGGTGTACAATGTCCCTGTGGGGCGACGAAGCCTGCGCAAGGCCTGGCGATTGAGAGCGAGAGAGGTCTAAAAGCAGAGATGAGCACAGATACAAGGGCAAAGCACAGCTCCCTGCTTCCCTTCTGCTGGGGCTGTCCACGGCTGCTCCAGCACCAGCAGTGCTGGCTCTAGAGGAAGCCTGTGGACCTCCTCGGGTAGGGGACAATCATCCAAGCCTGGACCCTTCTCTCTGGATGAGGGGAGATGCCAGGGGTTTTGGCAGTTGCTGCAGGACATTACTTGCGTTGCTCACCGCAGGGTGCCTTGTTGCCTGGTTGCTCCCCCAGGTCTGCGTGGGTTCTGGATCTACAAGCTGGACAGTCGTCCCCGGGTGAACTACAGGCTGCACTGCCTCGCGTGGCTGGCGGCACAGCCGGAGCCATCCAGCTGGAACCAAGGGCTGCTGCCGTGTCCCTGCTCACGGTCACAGGCAGAGCTGGACCCCCGCTACCGGCAGAGCAGAGGTGCTGGGTGCCCCTGCATGCGGAAAGGGGGAGCAGGGAAGAGACCACCAGAAACCTGGAGGAAGGAGATCTCAAACCCACTGTTGCATGGGTTGCATCCCACCGATGTCTAATGAGACATCTCCATGGGCTCAAAGGCATTCAGTGCCTTCCCAAATTGGGCCCTTTCGCCCATCACTTCGATAGTCCATCTGGGGAGGGTTGAAGCCAGTGGGTGAATGCTATGGGGTGGGATGGGGCTGGGGCTCTCCTGCTCTCAGGCCCCTGGGCAAGTTTCCAGGGCAGCCTGTGACACTCCGAACCTTTTCAGACCTGGTAGATGCCTCTGTAACCATGCTGCGCACGTCGTCCCCGAGCCGGACTGGAGCGGGGGTCCGGTGTCTTTATCGGAATGAGAGTTTTCTTGAAGGCTGGCAGGAGAGGACCTGGAGCCTTGCCCTCGATCCCACCACCGGTAAGCAAGCACCGTGGCTCTCTCCCCTTCAAACACCGGCAGATGAGTCCCAAGTGTGGTGCAGACCCCAGAGCTCTCCTGGGGTGACAGGAGAGGTGGCCCGTGGCAGTGGCAGGCCCTGTATCTGAGCTGTCCACCTTCCTCTGCAGATGGGGAGCTGGAGGCCTTCGACTGGTGCTGCCAGGGAGAGGGGAAACCCCTGTTGTGCACCAGGTTTGCTGAGAAGAGACCCAGGGCCAGCTGTGAGGGATACGTGCCGCCCGCCCCCGGTGAGTTCCCAGGGCTGCCCATGCCATCTCCCTGCTGTGACGGGGCAGGAGCCAGCCCCAGGCTCTGGTGCTGCGCAAATGGCTGTGCATGGTCCCCACTGCAACTGCAGCTTTCCATGCTCAGCATCAGACCATGGTCCACTCTTTGCAATGATACCAGCAATTGCCTTTCTTCCTCCCTGCAAAATTCCTTCACCGCCTTGCGATCCTAGCCAGTGCCTTTGGGGACCCCCACATCACCACCCTGGATGGGCTCACCTACACCTTCAACGGACTCGGTGACTTTGTCCTCCTCATGGCCAGCGATGCCCAGACCAGTTTCATCCTGCAAGGACGCACAGCCCAGACCGGCACAGCCCAGGCCACCAACTTTGTGGCTTTCGCTGCCCAGTACATCTCCACTAACACCACACTAGTAAGTAGCAGCCACCTGGTTACAGATCTGAGCACCTAATGGGAGAAACCCAGCAGACAGGTTGGGTAGCACATCTACACTTCCTAGAAATGCCTGGGACTTGCAAAACACCCCCTCTCCTCTTTCTGCCACTTCCCATGAGAAACCCGAGCAACCTGCTAAGTGCAGGGGTTGAACAAAGACTAACAAGAGCCAGCTCTAACACCTCATACATGCTGTCCAGCCCTGTCCTGAAGCTCTACAGAAACAATATCTGCTTCATCCTGTTATTGCCCCATCCTTCACAATCTACACCCTGAACACTGGTCTCCTCCAGGCTATCTGCACAGTTGCATCCTCTGCCTTTCTTTGCATAATTGCTCTCTGTTTCTAAAGGAGGTCAGTAATTCAGATCCCGGATGCCATAAGAAGCAGCCCTGAGCAATGGGAGAGCAATTCTCAGACCCTGGACCCAACACGGCCTCTAGGGCTGAGCAACTCTGAGGAGGCTGGGGCCTCCTCAGGCTGAGCAACTCTGAGGGGCTTGAGGAGGATGGGGTCTAGCTCCTGGGTATCCAGCATGAGCTGGGAACAGAGAGTCTCAGTGGCACAAGCAGATGGCCTGACTGGGACGACTTCTGTCGACAACCTTTTGCAGGTTGAGTGGACCCTGGGAAGACAAGGTGATATCCAGCTCCTGTTGAACTACAAGCCCATCCTGTTTTCCTACTCCAAAGGTGAGTAGGACATAGTGACCTCCTCTAGCAACTGACCCTACTGGCTGCATCCTGCAAGGGGGTCTCTGAGGGCAGCCCAGGGCCATTTTTGTCAGAAGCAATGACACTGTGCAGGGAGCTGAGGACATCCCTCAGCAGCGTCCCAGGGGCAGCTGGATACAGGCCAGTCCCCACGTGGGTCCAGCTCTGACCTTGTGTAGACCTTCCCCTCTGTGCTCATCTTCACTTGCAGACATGGACGCCAAGGTACATTACAGCCCCGGTGTTCTGGTGGTCAATGGCTCCTCCATCACAGCTGTCTTCGATGGGGCCGTTGCCGTCTCTGTCTTGGCCACTTCTGGGATCCTCAGCGTGGTCTGCAGCCTGCCTGATCGGTACCTCAACGCCACCAAGGGCCTGCTGGGTGAGGGGCCAGGCTGGCACCCCTGCAAAGGCTGCAGGGTGAGATCAGTGCTGTGCGGACCAGGCACCAGCCCATCCCCAAGGCTCGTGGCCACCTGCCCAGGGCATGGTTGCCTCAAGCTGGCAACTCAACTCCCTATCAAGGAGGCTGATGTGGTGGTGGCAGTGGTAGAGGAACCTGGCAGTATTGCCCTGGCTCCGAGCTTGGGGGGCTGCAGAAATCCAGGACTAACCAAGCTCTGCTTAGAGCTGGAACCCAGATGCACTACCACCCTCTGGCTCAGGCTCCCTCCGCCTCCAGGCTGGAGTGCAATATCCCCTTAGTACCTCAGAACAGGCTGATGAATGCTAGAGGATAGGGCTTGTGAGGGCAGGGGGGCAGAACGCACCTGGGCCTTCCCACATGGCTAAACTAAACCCCAGTCTATGTCAGAAGGGGCAGCCAACTGAGGCCTGGGGGGCTTCAATCCTGTGATGCTCTTCCAGGTGTATGGAACCACAACTCTGTAGATGACTTCCAGATGCTGAATGGTACCAGCATCCCCACAAACAGCAGTGAGGAGGAAATCTTCAGCTATGGCATGACCTGTAAGTCTGGACTCAGGATCCATGCTGGTGATCCTCTTCTTCAGCGCCTTCAGCTCTTGTTTTGTCTGGAGGAATTTAAATATTTGCTTGAGCAGAATCGGTGCCAAAGATTCCCTTTAGTCTCTACTGCTCCGTAAAAACCAACACAAAGTAAGGCATCCTTAAAAACCCTTGTCCATCCCCATGGTGTGCTCTCTTGCAGGGGCTGTTGGAGAGCACAGCCTGTTTGCTGAGCCGCTGGCAGCTCCGGTGACAAACTTCACGCCTGTCTTCTTGTCTCGGCTACGGCAGGAGAACGAAAGCCAGTACGAGCTGGCAGCCTCGCAGTGCCACGGGAGCAGGGAGTGCATCTATGATGCGCTGAGCACTGGAGATGTGGCCCTGGGCTTGGCCACCCAGAGCCTAGCAGATGATTTCCAGCAGAAGAAGACAGCACTAAGTGAGTGGAGCAGATGGTCACCTAGGAGAGGTGTTGGGATGGCTCCCTATGGGATGCCTTTTTTTCTTGTCCAGAGTCTCCAGCCAAGGATGCTGGCCAAGGTCTCTGAGTTGTACTGCCCAGCTGGGTTGTCCCCAGGGATTGGGACATGGTGGTGCAGTGCAACATGAGGGCTTTGCTGGTGGGTGGCCAGGGCCATGTCTGCTTGGGATCCTGTCTGCTTGGCGTTTGTTTGGGGTCCTGTCCTCGTCAGGAGAGGTACAGAGCTAAGGGATGCCATCCCACATGACAAACACCCGGCTGTGTGCCGGGCTGTTCATTCCTCAGATGCTTTTCCTCCCGTCATCACTGGTGATGCTTCGCTCACAGCCTACAGAATGGAAAGGGTGACAAGGCAGTACCAAGTGGAGGGGACAGGTGCACGATTTATCCCTCACACCTCTCTGGAGCTCAACATAACAGGTAGGGTGAGCTCAGGGGTGCTGCTAAGACCCCCAGTCTGCCCCTTTCCCTGCACCTTGCCCCTCTTTCCTGCCACCTCCTCTCTTTCCTGGCTCTTCCCATGCAGAGAACGGCACCCTCACATGGGAACCCACCAGCTTGGAGTCAGCCTTCACAGTCAGTCTGGAGGTCATGGGGGCCAACAACGTCTCTGCCATCCTCCTGCTCAGCTTTATCCTTTGCAACTGCAGCAGGAGCCACCAGTGTGATTACAATGACACCAGCACCATTGGCAGCTCTTCCTTGCAGGTAGTGGGGTTTGGGTAGCACCACTTCCCCAGGGACACACATCAGCATGGAAAGCTCCTCCAGCATCACGCAGGGAGCTGACCCCTGCCAGCCACCCTGGCCATGTCCTCTTGTCCATCCATCCGCGTGGTGTCCCTAAGCCGGTGTCACCATCCCCTTCCACAGCTCGCAGCCTGCAGGTGTGATGACGGCTACTCAGGTCGCTTCTGCCAGGACCCACTGGACCCCTGCGCGTGGGGCTGCTTCCCCGGTGTGAGGTGCCACCCAGGCACTGGCTGCGGCCCCTGCCCTGCTGGCCTCACCGGCGACGGGACGCACTGCGCAGGTGAGGGGCACAGGGCTTGCCGGGTCACAGCTTAGCACCATTTCGCCTGGTGCCACGTGCCCTTGCCTCAGCAGATATCGACGAGTGTGCACAGGGGACAGCATGTGTGGGGAATGCCACCTGCACCAACACCGTGGGAAGCTACCTGTGCACCTGCACACCCAGCGAGGCTGGTGAGTGCCCCTGCTGCCAGGAGAATCTCTACCTCAAAATGTGGGTGGCACGGCCAAAGAGGCTTCCCGGTGCTGCGGATGGGACTGAGGAGGGGAGAGGACCCGGGTGGTGAGCTCTGCACCCAAGTGCCTTGCTGATGTGCCATCCCTAATGCCACATGGAACAGAGATACTTCAGCCCCAACCCCAACAGTGCTTGGTATTCCTGGGCTGCAAACACTCATCCATTGAGAAAGGAAGGCATTTTTGTGGGGGATTTTCCTGTGAGGAAAAGCCCATCTGATCAAGCCTTTCACATATGTGAGGCAAAGAGGTTTAGGGACTTAAAATCAAGTCCTGATTTCAGAATAGTTTTGGCAGGAGAGGGGAAGGTTTTTGACTACAGTTATAAAGTGTCGGCCTGGCATTTGTACTTGGGAAGAAGATTCCAGCTGGCAGGTGTGGGGGTTACAGTGGTGCTGAAAGGCTCTGAAATTGCATTAGAAGTCACTAGAAGTGCAGAAGAAAATCACTGCAGCCTGGGGTGAAGCTGAGCACTGGCCGTGTTGGCCCTGGTGCCCACCAAACCCAAGGGCCCAGATGTGACCCAGTACCTATTTCACTCCATTTTCCACCCCTCTGATGCTAGTAGGTGCAGCGATAGGCTGCATGGCCATGTGTGGGTCTCGCACCTGCCCCGAGGGCTTCTGCAGCAACGGGGGTCAATGCCACCTGGACGCGGCCACCTGCACGCCCACCTGCCTGTGCCCCCCTGCCTTCACTGACCGTCACTGCCTGGTGGCAGGCGGTGATTTTCGGCCCCCGGCTAGCCCAGGTGGGTGTCTGCACCACATCGGGTGGGCTCCAGCCCAGCTTGCCCAAGCCACGGATGTTGAGAGCAACTGCCGTGTCTTTCTCTCAGCAGACCTGCCCCGGCGGAGCGTGTGCCTGCAGGTCCGAACACTGCAAAATGTCACCGATGACGAAGTCAACCGAACCGTACGTCACCCAAGGGGGCTGAGTTATTGCTATGTGCCCGGGGGTCCCCATAGTTGGAGACAGGATGATGGGGTGCTGCTTTGGAAGGCACTGAGGGGACACCCCCTGTGTTCTTGATGTCCACCCCGCAGGCCAGTGAGGAGGTGGCACCAGCCCACTGGGTCCCAACTGAGCCATACAGGCAGCACTCATGGTTGCTCACTAGGTCCCCCATGCATGAATGAAAGGGCAGAGCAGCCCTTGGAGCTCAGACACGTCACCCTTCAGACTCTGCCCCATGCCAGAGCCATCCTGCCCTCCTCTAATGCTGCCTCCTGCTCCCATGCAGGTCACGGCTGTCCTGGCATCCCTGGAGGTGAAGGCTTTCTGGAGCAACACCAACATCACCCACACGTGAGTGAGCTGGGGTCCTAGCAGGGAGCACACGGAGCAGCAGCATTTAAGGTGCCAAGGGGATTTGTCATCTTGGGGGTTGTCTTTTCAGCCTCAAAGCTGATAAATACCCAGACGGGATGTTTATGGGGAAAAATGGGGAAACTGGGACAGAGCAAGGCTGCTCTGGTCAGATGTTTGCAGATCTGCCCGCAGACTCTGTCCACCTCCTACTTTCACTGCAGGGATGGCTTCACATTCACTGTGGTGTCTGAGTTCGCCTACGACAGCACCGGCACCGTGATCCACTTCCTGAACGAGGAGCTAAGGGGGGCGATCACCGGTGCCTTCAACAAGACACCTCAGCGCCAGCGACGGGTAGCAGGAGCACATGTTGCCTTCGAGCACCTGCACGGGGATAACATCACTGACCTGGTGAAGTGTGAGTCCTCCAGGGCCACAGCTCAACCCGGGGGCCAGGGAGACTGACCCAGGGGTCTCCATGGCCCAGTCTCAGGGGTCAGGTGATGCTGGCACTGATGGACAAGGGTCGGTGGCAATTCCCTACCCTACAAGCGGCTCCAGCTAGAGGAAACCTGCTGGTGCGGGAGAGCAAATACACAAGCCCGGGCAATGTTGCTGGAAAACTTGGTGAGTCCATCCAGGCCGGCCTGCACGGATGACCCTCGCACTCTCCGTGCCTGCCTCTTTCCCCAGTGACAGTGTCGGAGCTGAGGCGCTATTTCCCCTGCGGCCTCCCGGGCTACAAAGGCTACCAGCTGGACTACACAGAGAGCGTTGGCTTCCTCTGCGTGTCCCCTTGCAGCACGGGCTACTGCCGGCACGGAGGCCGCTGCCAGCACCTGCCTGACGGGCCCGTGTGCAGGTAGCGGCACCTGATGAGGGGGGCGGGAGAGGCTGCGGCCAGCGCTCGCCTCAGGGCTTTACCTCTGCTCTGCCCCCTCTGCAGCTGCACCTCCTTCTCCATCTTCTCCCCCGGTGGCGAGCGGTGTGACCAGCTCGCCGTCAGCCTCGGCGCCTTCCTCGGCATCTTGCTGGGAGCGCTGGCTCTGCTCGCGCTGCTGCTCACCTCCACCTGCCTGGCAGCGCGGCGCTGCCGCCAGCACAAGGACACCCAGGGGTAAGCAGTGCCCCGTGGCCTCCTGTGGCACTCGGGGCCAGGCCGGGGCAGCGTGGCACTGGCTGAGGGGCTCTCGGGCACCAGGCAGAGCAGGAGATGGAGTTTGGAAGTCAGGAAGAGCATTACCCGCTCAAAAAAAATGGGTGGAAAATTCACTTTTGAATGGTTAAGAGCTGGTCAGACATGATTTCCCAGGCAGCGGGAGGCAGGCTGAGCCTGTCTCCAGTAAGCACTTTTTCTGGGTGGTCTTTCAGTGTCTTCCGGACCTTTTTCCAGTCATTTGCTGCTCAAGGGTCCAGTTACTTCCGTGGGCTGAAAACTAGATTCTTTATGTCCCCATTTAAGAGAATATTTGCATTTCCTCCTCAAACCATCCCGACAGTATTTGGTTACAGAATGGCTTTCTATTTAATTTTAATTTGAATAAAGTCCAAGTAATTTCCATGGGAACTCGTTTCCCTGGGAAGACTTGGTTTGCAACAGGAGAAGACTATTGCAGGAGTAGCCCTTCTGTTTCTGGGCAGAAACGGCTGATGAAGTGCAAGACTCAGGGGCAAAGGCCAGTGTCTCCCTTCTTCTCCTGCCCTTGGTTCCAGGCCAGAGGGCTTTTCCATAGGAGCAGGAAGCTCTGTGCCCTGAGTCCCTTGTGCTGGCCAAGGAGGTGCTAGAGCAGGTCGGAGCAGGACTGGGGCTGTTCCTTGTGTTTGTGTTGGGGCCGTGCTGCATCCTGCACCCACCATGAGCTCCTTCATTGCCCAGGGGCTGTGGGCTCATCAAGCCAATGGGACATGTCGCTGTTTGCTTGTGTTTGTGTCAGGCAAGAAATTCTGTGTGCAGCAACTGGGACTTTCCTCTGTTATTGTCTCTCTCCCCCAAATCCCTGTCTCCATCCTCTCTCCCTGGCCCCACACTTTCCTGTCCCACACCAAGCTCAATCACTGCTCTCCATGCTGCTCAGACCCAGGTGCTGGCACAACGCAGGGTGCTCCCTGTGCCCTCTGACACGTTGCCTTCTTTCTGCTCCCCTCACTTTAGGGCCAAGGAGTCGTTCTGGAGACAGCGGCCATTCTCCTGTGAGTATATCCATGCACGCACCCCGAAACCCATCTCTGCTTCACTCCCTTTAATGTAACCAACCTCAGAGTCAAAGCTGGTTGTGTGGGAGCACTGACCAGTGGATCCCTGCCCTCCCTACCTGCTGAGGTGCCATCAGCTGAGCCTGCCCTCACAAGACTCACCCCAGCTCTGCTCATACTCCCCATCCAGCTCTCACCAAAGCAGAAGATGGAGTAGGACATATTCCCTTTGATGCCTCTGAATGGTGCTGGTCACCACAGCTGCAAGCCATCGACCCATCACTTCAGGTCTGTTTACCTCCCAGCTACAAGTCTGCAGGTCTCTGATGGTTTCCGCTACCCTTCAGGTCTGAGCTTTGCTACTATTGCAGCTCATAGCAAAGGCCAGACCTTCTGCAAAGCCCTTGCGCAGAGTCACTCATCCCTATCACTGCTTTCTTTGCTATTTACAGATAAGGATCGCAAGACCCCACATTAGGCCTCCAAGTCAACCAGCTCAACAACCCTAGCATGGCGCAATCTCCACAGCCACTGACTGATGCTGCTCTGGCTTTGACACCTCTGGCTACTTGTACAGAATGAGCTGCCTGCTGGGTTGGATACCATTCGCACCGCAGACGCCTCTGCCACATCATTTTGCTCTCACAATTTCGAGAAACATTATGAGCATGGACCAGGGAACACGTGTCTGTCTTTTGGGCTCTACTTGCAGGACTGTGAATTTTGGGGACAGTTTGCCTGAGAGTGATGGCTGTGGAAGGAGGTGCCTTTGCAACAGTTTATGTTGTAGGAATTGCTACTTTTGAATGAAAAAAATGTACTTCTGGGGTGAGTCATCAAAGATAGGGGACTCCACCTTCCACTAAGGACAGTCAGCGTAGTCCTTGAACATGCGAGTAAGGAGGTAGCACCTTGTGCAGTGTAACTAGATCCAGCACAGATCGCTGAGAACAGGCTCAGATGGGCCAGTGCAGTGATTATAACCCCCAATGAGCAAAATAGAATAAAAGAAAAGATTACAGCATGTTGCTGAGTAAATTATATGCGCTTAGTGCCCAGACATTAACCCTACTTCCTTTTTCCAAGCGCTGGAGCACCTGCTGGCACATTGCAGCTATGGCACCAAAGAAAATTTGCCCATAATTTCTATTGCTCTGTCCCAATTCCCACTCCCAAGCTGCAGGTTTCACCTCATTGCTTTCCCAAATCACCACACGTAACGACTCAAATCACAGCCCTAGAACCAGATCCCCACAAACTCTCTGCTGCTCTTCACCCGTGTTGAGTGAAGGCGCATCGTTAGTGCAGGAGCATCAAGAGGCAGCTCTGGCCCCCAGCCCTCCTTCCCCTGAGGCTGGCAAGGACCAAGTCCCAGCTGCACGCACTGCAGCCAGCAGCTCGGCTCTCCCCACTCACCACGCCACTGCCTACCAGCCCTCTGAGCAGCAGAAGACACGGCTGCCATGGGATCAAAGATGCTTATGCCCCTCGGGCACTTTATTGAATGAACAGTATTTGACAAGGATTTTTTTTTTTAAAGAAGTAGAGATGCCCTCACAAACACACATAAAATAATTTTCTACTGCCCTTTCTGATGGGGGGGGAGCGAGTTTTGCTCTTGCGTGTCCAGCAGAGACATCAGCCTGACTCTGGACTGATCCAGAGAGTTGTTTCTGGAACCGGAGAGCATGGGAGGAAAGCCTCGGGACAGGAGCAGGTTGCAAGACACAGATACCGCCAGCTCAAAGGACCATCTTGGGAGGCCACCTGAGGCTATGAGGTGCTCAGGTCTTGGCTGCATTTGGCCTGCACGAGGGGAAGAAACCCTTTCCCACATGCTGGGACACAACCAGCCCTCCCCCCTTGCCTTCCCCATGTGTAGGGAGAAGGAGAGAGTTGACTGACACAGCTCAGAAACACTTGCCCCCCTCCCCGCCAGCAAGGAGGTGCTAGTGTCTGGAGCAGCCCAATGCAGCAGGTGTCAAAAGTGCTACAGCCAGGAAAGGATGAAAAAAAGCAACCACATCCCCGTGACAAATCTGGGAAAGAAACGTGAACGTCTATCAGCAAATGCAACTGCAAGCACTGGCCACATGAGCCAGTGCTGTGCAGAGGGCAGGGGATGTCATGAGACAACGGCAGCTGTGGTGAACAGGGCCCCATAGATTTCCCGTGTTTAGGAGCAAATGGCTTGTTGGAGGGTCAGCCATAGCATAGGCCATTATGGAGAAGGAGCAGGGTGAGTGTGGAGTTACTTGGCATCTCCGTCTGCAAAGAAGAAGAAAGAGTAAGCGCTCAACAACTTGAACAAGGCCAGAACCAGCCAACTCGTCCATGGCCTCTCCCCTGGGCTGGGGGGGCTCTCCTTACTGGGACAGTCCCCTGCATGCTCACCTTCATTCTCCTCCGAATGGCTGTTTGCCTCTTCCGACGACCGCCCTGGCAGTCCAAAGGAAGATACAGGTCAGTTTGCATGTAAGAATTGCATTGTCCATGTTTCTCCACCCCTCTTGGCGCCATCACCCCCAGATCACACTGGCGCATGAACAGCTCTCCGAGGTAGCCTGTGTCCAAGCCTCTGGCACCAGGCACCAGAAAAGCTCATTTGTGCTCCCATGTTTTGAATCCATTAGCTCCCCAGGAAGGAGGTGTTACAGGCTCTGTTAGCCAGCAGGAGCCACCACTGTTGGTCACCCTATTTCCTCGGCTCATCATGTCACTTCCCCCGAGCTCTCTCAGGGAGTGGAGGGTCTCCAAACCCAGACCCTTGCTCCAAACCCTCCTCTGCTGGTGTCTCTCTCCCTATCTCCCCCAAAGAAGCCTAGTCTCAGGTGTATAATCTTTGTGGACACCCCAAAACTTCTTGCATGCCCACCACAGGCTGTCTCTTTATTAGCCACATGGAGGTTGAGTTGGTCACCCCACCGCTGGAAACCCACCCGTGCTGGGTGCCTGGTATCCATCATCGCAGCCAATCTCCGGTCTCTTCTCGCTGTACCTGGCACAGAGCTGGGCGCTTCCTGCCTGGTTACAGCACCAGTCATGCAACTTCAGCTCCTGATCTAGAGGCAGAAATCAGAGTGAGAGGAGGAGAGCAAGCAGTGCTGGCTTCGAGGAGGGCAATTTGCACTGGCCCCAGCACAAGGGCTCATGCTGTGTTTTGTGGGTATCAGATCATCCATGCTCCCTCCAAGGGCAACAGCACATCAGGAAATAGATTTGCATGGAGATTAAAATGATTTACAGGCTGCAGTGATGCCAGCTTCAGCCACGCGACTTGACACAGGGAGTCCCTACTGCCACCCTGGTCTACCCTGACCTCTCCAGCATCACAGGCAAGGGGAGGAGAAGAAGGGCTTGAGTACATTCACCCATGGCACCGAGCCTGGGCAATGTGTGCGCATTTGAAAGCCCTTCATTTACCGGGGTAAAATCCCTTCTGGAAGAACATCACATCTTCCCCTTTATAAAGCCCAGTCTCATTTCACATCCATTTCATGCCTTGTCTGATTTCACGCCAATTTGTCCTCCCAGCCTCCTGGGTTTCTTGCTGCCTGGCCTCACCTCCTGCTGACTGCGGGGGGCTGCACTTAGCAGGGCTTAGCACGGCCTTGCTGCATCAGCTCCGCGTTACTAAAGCCATGGGATATAAGGGTGTGACTTTCAGCCCTTTCCCCACCCTGCGTCCTGCTGGGCTCCAGCACCTCCCTCAGGTGTAAAATGGCTTATAGCTAAAGATATTAAGGGGCCTCTGCAGTCCTCCGCAGGAGGCTGAGACTCCTAAGCCACTGAACATCACTGCCGTGTGTTACATTCGGGAGAGCGGGACCAGCTGCTCTTACCACGGTATGGGGATGCCTGCCTCGAGAATCGCCAGTATCTCTCCTGCCGCCCCTCGGCGAACTGGCCCCGGCTGTCATAGAGGCAGCGGATGCCAGCGCCGTACTGGTTCGGCGAGGCAGAGTGCAGCATCGTCAAGCGGGAGCCATCGAGCTGGCCTGAAACAGGGCAGTGGTGAGTATCCCGCCACGGAGAGGAGAGGGGCTCCCCTTCACCGTCATCCACCGCTCCTGCCACCTCCTGGGGGTACCAGCAGGGTCTGTCCCAGTGGCAACCCAAGGTGAGACCCCCACCACCCGCCACTGCTGTGTCCCTCCTCTCACAGCACCCGATGCCCCCAGTCTGGCATGCTTGGGTGAGCCCGGCCATCCCACAGGGGACCTGGGTTGGGTTGTTTCAGGGGGTGTCCCCTTGCTGGTCCCACTTGCCTCCCCGGGCGCTCCGGAAGCGCAGGTCCCGCTGCCCTTGCTGCAGGGAGCAGGGACAGGAGGGCAGGTCCCGGCTCCACACTCGCGGCTCCTGCTGCTGCCCCGTCCACGCCAGGCACTTCAGCCTGTAGTTGGCCCCCACGCGGCTCTCCAGCTTGTATATCCACAGCCCACGGAGATCTGCGGAGAGAAGTCACCAGCTGTCGCCTCCGGCCAAAGTTGCCCTCAGCTTAACGCGAGAGGTGAATATTCCTGGTGCAGAAATTAAGCCATCAGTCCCAAATATGACAAACAGCCATGCCAGGGAAGCAGCAGAGATGTTTCTCCCAGAGAAGAAATCCTGGACAGAGCCATTTATGAAGAGCACTGCTAAAAGTGCCCATGAGCACGGTAGGGATATTTCAGGCATCCCTCCCAGGCAGACCTCCCCAGCCACTCATACCCCATGCACTGTGCATCCCCACCTGTGTTGGAGCCCCTGAACTGGTCAGGGCGGTATTTAGCAGCCGGAGGTCTTTGAGCAAGGTCATCATTGTGGTAAAATCCATCCCCGCTGTGTGCAGAAAGAGAAATAAATAAGCAAAGTCAGAGATTCCACCTGCTGTGGGGGTGCGTGCCAGCCTGTTGCTTCCCTTCCACAAGGTGCCCTTGGTTTTGGGTGCTGCTGGGGCTCAGGGGCCTGGGAAACAGGGGGCTATACTGTTTGCAGAGCTGTGAGACAGAGTGGCTGCCCGTGAGCACTCGCACATAAATCTGCAGGCGCAAGCATGCACATGCTGCTTTCCTCACCCCAGAAGATCTCTCTACCCAGAAGCAGAAAACCAAAAATAACCAGGTCCTGAAGACTGCTGGCCATTGAAGCCCCAGCACAAAGCAGGTAGAATGCAACCAGGGCAGGAAGCAACCGCTCGAGCCAAGCCACTGGAAATCCCTTCCCCAAGCAGCGCAAAGTTCATTAAACACCACCTTTTCCCCACTTCTAAGCCCCAAACTGCCAAGGCACGTCCAGTCGCCGGCTGCAGTGGGATGTGAAGATTTTATCGTAAGCACAGCCCAGCAGATAAGAGTTTTGCAAGCGATCCAGCTAATTGGGCAAATATCCATGCACAGGGCCGCTGGGCTGCGTGGGCGGGCAGGCCTCAGCTGGGCTGCCTCATCCATACGGGGTGCTCTGGTGGGGAAGGACTAGACCAGCCGGAGCCTGCAGTTTGGCAGCGCATGGTGCTCGGAGAAGGCAGGGGTAGGAAATCATCCTTACAGCTCCGACTACCTGGAATAGCCGATAAGCACATTTGTAGCAGCAAGCTGGCCGTAATCCCATCTCATGCCTCCGTCTTGGTACAGGATCAGGAGGTAGGATCTGAAGCCGTCAGTGGTGAGCACAGCCTGGTATGTGCTTGTCTGTGGGGACACAGAGCAGTCAGCTAAGGAGCCAAGTAAAGCTGGTAGGTTTAATAATAATTCAGGTAGGGGCTTGCAGCAGCAGGTGGGAAGAAGAGGGACTCAGACCCTAATGTGCGAGGCAAGTCTGAATTGTTTTGCATTTGCAACAAGAATGACATTTTTATTCTGGTGTTGGTTCATGAGAACCTTCAAGTCAGGCAAATTTTTATAACTTAAAAAAAATAGTATTTCTGGTACACAATAAACTTGCCTCACATTAAAAATGAAGATTTCGGGGAGCAGGAGGAGTTCAGCTCTAAGTGTCCTCCCAAAACCTACAAGTCAACAAAAATGGGTCGAGCCCACTGCTTTTTGGCAAAAAAAAAAAATTTAAAAATATGCACCTTTTGCACAAAACCACTTTCTTATTTTCAGATATAGGCAATGTGAGAGCTGGCAGATACCTCCAGGAAGGAAAGAACAAGCATCAGCAAGGGCTGACGGGGACCCTGGGCACCAACACCAGTAACAAGGTGGGCTCTGCACCAGTGCCAGGAGCTCTCTGTTCAGAGCATCCATCCCTTTCTCTTAAATGTTCCCGAGGATTTTCAGGAAACAGCTCAGCCCTCTGGCAGCAAGATCCCACCAGGGGATCTGTGTCACAGCCCCACACACTCGCACACGAAGCCGAACATGGTGGCAGCCCCCTTAAGCTCCAGTTCCTCACCCTCCTGGTGTCTGTCCGCGCTGTGTGGGCAGGAGCCTTCTCCCAGGTGATCTTCAGGGTCCACACCGCCGAGTATGAAGTTTTCATGTACCGTCGAATCTTGGCTTCCACATCAAGGACAAAGGGAGGTTTGGCAGAGTTCAGGGTGAAGAACTCCTGTAGTTTGGTACGTGCACACAGATGTTATCTCCCGATAAAGCAAAAACATTTCTAAATTTGTCACTGCCTTCACATCCCAAGCCCTATCCCATGGCTAGCAGCTTGAATGGGCCTGTGAGAGCAGAGCACTTCACTGTTACATCTGGCCTGAACACAGGAAAAGCTTCTCATTAGCTCAGTTAGTTGATTATACATCCCAAGGGGCATCCAAAAAACACACAATGAGTTTATCATTGGAAGGTGCTTAATGCAAAAGCCCTCAGCACAACCCAAGTGGCTTCACTGACCTGGTAGAACGTGGTGCCAACCCCTCTGGAGAAGTCAGCATCGTCCCAAAACACGGCGATCATGGGAACCTTCTCGCGGCCATTAAACCCACCGGGAGGTGGGCTGGAGAATGGGAAGAGGTTCTTGTCTGAGGCTGGGAAGATGATTTGTCCGTTGTCTGTGAACTGAACACAGATCCATGTGTCATGCCTTATGTCTGGCAGGCAAAGGCAGGACAAGCTGCTCAAACATGTGTGGGCCTGGCCAGACCCTCGGCTGCTTGTGTGTTTGTCCCAGCCCCAATGCATGTGCAGCATGGTGGGATCCCCAGGACCCCACACAGACTTGATGGGGCCTGGGAACTAGCCTGTGTTCCTATTGGAAACTATATCACAGGCAAAAATGATTAAAGCTTTGGGTTCTCTGTTGAGCACTCCCAAACCAGCCACTGGAAGCCACTTTATAAAATAGGCATGAGAATGGCCCCAGCATTTCTAACAGTGACATCCAGCAGGTGTTTGACATTTGTGAGAACAAAAACAGAAGAAGGCACTGCCAGCCCCCTGAAATAACCACAAAGTCCCCATCCACTGCAAACAGGCACTGAAACATTCCCGCTCTATTCGCCTCTCCGAGGAGCCCATCCTAAGTCCTCACCTCCTAGGTTTTTGGGTGATGGCCACCTAGAGCAAGCCAAATCAAATAGACTCACGTAGAGAGAATCACGCAGGGCTTTCCCAAAGGGGAATCCGGTCTCAGGCTTGAAAAGTGGTGAATTGAAGTCCACTCGTCTTTCCACATACTCGCGATCATTTTCCCTTGTTCCGTATGAGTAGAGGGGCACCGCTGCAGTCAAAAGAAAATGCGTACAGCAAGGGGATGCAGTGTTTAAACACCCCATGCCTCTTTATAGAGACAGCCATAGCCTCCACCTCCAATTTCATGTCTGTTAAATAAAGTATTTGGAGGGGATTTCTTCCATACGACGGCAGGGAAAGGTCTTCTCTGCCTGATGGAAGAGGCAGGTTCCTGCTGCATGTGCTCAATGTACCAGGCTCATCCAGGTGCTGCAGGAGCTTCTAATGGCACATCTGATCCTGGACCCTCATCGTGACCCCCCCTCAACTCCCCATCCCCATCTTCCCCTACATGGATCCATACCCACCACTGCTCCCACACCAGGCCACCCTACCTGCAGTCACAGGCAGCGGGACGGCGGGGGCCACGGGACCCCCCAGCGGAGCTGGAACCACGTTGGATGACCCCTGGGGGAGCAGAGCAGCTGCCCCGTTCACTCCTGGCTTGGGGATCACCTTGCGAAGCGAGGCTTGTGAGGCTGGGACAGTGGCCACGGGGCTGCAGGACACGGGCGGGCGTGTGGTGGCTGGTGGCCCTCCCCGCGCTGCTCCTTGGCTTGGCACGGTTCTGGGGAGACTCGGCCTAGCAGCAGCAGGGCCAGCAGCAGCTGCGTGGCTGAGGCCCGCGATCGCCTTGCTGCTTGAGGAAGGCTGCAGGACCACGGGTGATGAACCACCAGCGGATCCTGCTCCTGGGAATTTTGTCAGGGTGTTTCCAGCAGCAACCCCAATGGGAGCAAGGTCAGAGGACCCTCCCGTTGAGCTTTGCACCATCGAGGACTGAGCAGGGGGCCCAGCGGCTGTTCTGGGAGGCAGTTGAGCTGCAGCCCCCGGCCCTGCTGCCGCACCAGGGAGCTCAGGGCTCAGCTGCCCTGGGCTGTCTGTGTCCCCTCTCCCGCCAGCAGCTGCAGAGACGGATGGGACACCAGGACTTTTGGAATGGGCAGGTGGCAGGAGCAGGGCAGATCCATCAGGATCTGCGGAGGCTATCCCAAGAGCTCCCTTTTCCAGCGTGGAGGGTCCTGCTGTCAGGTCACTTGTTGAACCTGGAGAGGAAAATCTGGAGACAGGAGACAGGCCCTCAGCAGCAGGAGGCACCGCTGGGCCTACGTTGGGAGACACAGGGGCAGCCGGGTGCTCTTCTGAAGGTGCCAGCATTCCTGAGGCCATCTTGCTGTCAGGAGACCAAGGGACGGTGGTCTCAGCACCGGCCAGTGGCCCGTGGAACACCTTTGCTGCAGGCAGCAGTGCGCCCGCCGCTGGCCCGCCTGTGGATACTGGAGGGAGAGGGGGGCTTCTCCTTAGGCACCAGCCCGGGGCTTCCTCCCATGCCTTCCAAGGAGGCAGGCAATGCTCCAAGCCCGTGTGTAGGGAGCAGCAGAGAAGAGCCCAGCAAGCTGGCAATGCCAGCGGTGGCAACACCAGTGTCTAGAGCCGGTGGGAGCAGGGTCTGCACCCGCTGCGGTGAGGCAAGGGCCAGGGGGGCCAGCACTCCCGGTGCTGCTTGCACAATTCCTCCTGCTCCAGCTCCTAAAGTGGCATCAAGAGAAGCTTCATTATCAGCAGAGACTCCCCTTTCTCCCCCAGGCAGGTCCACAACATGGGCTTGGCTCAGTTTTCTTTCAGAAGCTCCAAGACCTGAA